TCTCCCACTAAGAAAAAGAATAGATGGAGAATTAATAGTTGCACGTCTCGAGGAGAAGATGTGATACGCTATCATGATGGCGTGATGTCATGAGTAAGGGGGGAACAATTATGCCAACTAAGGGAGAAATGGAAGAGAATGAGTTGCTGGAAAAGTGGTTGATGTTTCAAAGATGTCATTGTCTCATGTTGGCTGAAATTCGAAAATGGCATCTCTGGGGGCACTTTGTTACCTTAAAAAAATATTTTAAGGTATATATTGCATAATTAATGAGGGTAGTCCCACGAGTTAAGAAGATGGTATCCTAAAAATAAAGGTTGTAAGGAAATTAAGCTTGAGAATGAGAAATAGTTGGAAAAATTATTAGTCAGCAGTGGAAAGTTGACACAATTGATAAACAAGCTAGTCGAAGTTTGGTCTTGTCGACCAAATTGAAATCTAAGAGTCATAGAAGTTTTGATCGTCTATCTACGCTAAAGGATGGCGTCAAAGTGAGAGCTGGAACAGGATAATTTTGAAATTTGAAAATATCAACAGTTGCAAGATAGTTTTCCAAATTAAGCGCCAAGTACATGGTGAAAATATAGATAAGCAATTATCTTAAGGCCAAATACGTGTCAAGTATATAGTGTGTTCTAGTACATAGGCAGTTAAATTTGTAACTACTATAAATAAAAGGATCCAATGTAAGATTCAGGGTGTTCACTTTGTACTAGAATCACTTAGCAAACCCAATATTCTAAGCGTAAGGAAGCAGAGGGTTTCAAAGGTGTTAATGTACGTGAATCACCATCTTTATGTCAATGCAAATTCCTTTCTTTTCAGTTCTTCCTTTTGAATCTTTTGCTTTAATTTTTTTTACTTTTGAACGATCCTTTTATATTATCATCTACACTTTTGAAACTCGTTCTATCTCTATACTAGAATTTACTAAAAAGTCACTCAACATTTATTTCATTTAAAAAGTCATAACCTACTGTCGGTCACGAGTCACCTTTAGTCGGTCAAAACATTACACTGTGGAAACTCATGCTTGTTCTATCCTTCATAGAAAACCGTTTCTCAAAAAGAAAAGTCTTACGTCGGTTGAACAAGTTATACTTAGATATATTAACACATTTCTTAAGATCAATTAGTCGATCCTGCAAGTATCCCTTGGTTTTTAGGCTTTGGGAAAACTAGCGGTTGTTTACCTTTTTCCACAGTAAACATGTACCCCAATCAACACCATTACTTTTATTTTATCATCCAAATTCTTTCTCTTAGCATCTGGAACATGTTTGTAACAGACAGAACCAAATACTCTGAAATGACCCACACTTTGCTTATCTCCAGTCCACTTCTATAAAGGAATAATTTCCTTCAGCTTCTTCGTTGGACACCTATTAAACACATATGTTGAAGTGACAATAACTTTTCCCCACAAGGTGTGAGGGAACTTCTTCTCTTTCAGTATGCTCCTTGTCATATCAAGAAAAGTTCTATTTCTTCTTTCATCAAGGCCATTATGTTGAAGAGTGTATGAAGCAGTAATCTCATGCTCAATTCCGTTCTCCTCACAGATCTTTTAGAACTCTGTAGCGTTATACTCACCTTCACCCACAATTATGAGAACTTTCAACTTCTGACCACTATATTTCTCAGCGTTCACCTTCAACTTTTAGAACTCAGTAAACACCTCATGCTTAAACTTGATGAGTGCTACCCATGCCATTCTTGTGAACTCATCTAAAAACGACATAAAATACTTGTTTCCTCCAAGTGAAGGTACTGAAAATGGTCCTCATACATCAGAATGCACTACTCCCAAAGCATGCTTTGCTCTTGGGGATACTTCTAACGCAACTGGAAATTTGGCTTACTTTCCTTTCATGCATATCTCACATGAATTCTCAGGCTTCACAATCTTAGGAATGCCATATACTAACTTCTTAAAACTCAGATGCCCTAAGCTTCTGAAGTTCAGATGCCCCAATTTCTTGTGCCACAACTCACTACCACTTTCAGAGCCTTTTGCACTAAGGCATTTAGTTTTAGATGACTTTATATTCACCTTGAATGTTATGTTGTTTCTCTGCTCAAATTGCATAATCATCTTCTGATTGCAGTCATACAACTTCAAAAGATTGTTCTTCATGATAATTAAGAAACCTTTCTCAATAAGTTGACCTACACTTATTAGATTGTTCTTCAACTAGGAACATACCAAACATATTTGATCAGAACAATTCTTCCATTCTTCACTCTGACTTTGATATTTCTCATATCTTTTGCATTAAGGTATTTATCATCAGCACATCTGATCTTTGTCCTCTTTCTGGAGTCAAAATCAACCAGCCATTGTTTGTTTCTAGTTAAGTGATTTGAGCCGCCAATCTCCATATACCATCAGTCTACCAAATACCTACCATCAGACTTAGAAGTCATCAATAGCACAAGTTCATTATCAGAATCTTCTCTGGCTATATTTGTTTCTTCTAACTTCCTTTTCTTGTTTGACCAACAATTCTTAGTAAAGTGACCAAACCTATTACAACAATAGCATTAAACCTTTCTATTGTAAAGCTTTTCCTTTCTCTTCTGATGTTTCTTCTCATCAGAGTTGAAGACTTCTGACTTCTGAGAACCACCAGCATGTCTCTTCTTGGCTTCTGACTAAGAATGCTTCTGATCCTTCTTGACAAAAGAAGCTTTTAGAGCCTGCTCTACCTCTCTTTCATATGTTCTCTCAGTCAGACGCAACTCTTGTATCTCTAGACTACTTTGCAGTTATTCAGTTCTCATGGTGCTAAGATTCTTAGAATGTTCAATTACTATAACAACACAATCAAATTGAGGAGTAAGAGACTTCAATACCTTTTCAATGATTACTTGTACATACATAGTTTCTCCATAATATTTCATCTTATTTGTGATTAAAATCACTCTATAAATGTAATCAGATACCTTCTCATTGTTCTTCATATTGAGATTCTCATACTGCTTACATAGAGACTGAAGTTTCACCTTATTCACTGACGCATCACTATCGTAGCACCATGTCAGTATATCCCACATAGTTTTCGCCGTCGTTGAATCAACAATCTTCTCAAACACATTCACATCCACACACTGATGGATGTAGAACAACAGTTTTTGATCTTTCTTCCTCGTATCTCTTTATGCGTTTCTATGTTCCTCCGTCGCATCCGCTGCAACCAAAACATAATCTTCAGTGACGAGATCAAGAACGTCTTGAGCACCGAGCAACACACGCATTTGAGTCATCCACTGATTCCAATTCTTTCCATCAAACACCAGAAGCATAATATTCAAACAATTTCTGCCGTTCATCTTTGTTCTTGTCACTGAAACTCAAATAGGTCTCAGATCTCACCAAACACATGTGTTTCCCTATCCTCCAAAATTAAGAAATACAATTCTGTTACGATTCTGATCGTGAATTCAACACGAATTCAAATGACAAAATCAATCACACACGCCTCACGTACACTCGTGTTTCCCTATGAATCGAACTAAAGCTCTAGATACCAATTGTTGGAGCACAAAGTTGAAGATGAAGATGGAAGAAGATAGGAAAGAGAAGAGAAAGAAAAACAATTATAATAAACTTTTAAGAGATATAAACTCTATTAAGTACTTACTGTAAAACTCTTTACACCAAGGTGTTTAAATACACCAAAATTAACATGACACATAAGTAAACTATGCCAGACACTACTAAAAGAAACTGACAAAACAAACCAAATCAAACCAAACCCAGAAACTATACTCAACTTATGGAACAACAACATGAAAAACCTTCTTTTAACTAACAAATTACTGTTGAATATGAATTACTTATAACACTAAAGATATCTACCAATGAGATAGTTTTCTCCACAAGCAAAAGTAATTTGCTAAATCTACCTTTCATTACAACTTTAATTTAATAGTTTAACGGTTACAAGTGGATTACTTCTAAGAGTGGAAAATAAAAATTAAACTTTTTAAAAAATCTAAGAGTTATAATAATTGTTTAACAGATATATTATTAAGAGATTAATTGATATGTATTGTCAGTAATTTTTGTATACAATCAGAATATTACAATCACTCTTATATAATACTTTGAATGTGTTTAAAATAAAAATCAAACAATTATAAATATTTGATGGTTATGACTAACTGACGACATAAAACTTCTTTACATTATCGGTGTATATCAATTAAATTCTATAATTAAATCTTGAATTTATATTTGTTTTATAAAATTAATTAGTATTAATATAATTTTTTTTACAAAATCAATACATCACACCATTTAAAAATATTAATTTATAAATAATTAGAATAAAAATCAAATATTACTAACTTTTCGGGAGGTAATACTAATTAAATTTTTGTTTTGTTAACTATGATATAAAATTTAAGTTGTACGTCCTAATCGTCGGCCTAACCTATAAGTCCTCAAACAAAAGACAACAAAAATTCCTCTACTTAGTATTTCCTACAACTACAACAATAAAAGAGAAAGTATTTTAACAACACGCTTAAGATGCGAATCATAATCATTTGATTGTGACCCTAGCAGTATCAGAATTGCACAACACTAGTAGTCACAAAAAGCTAAAAGTTGTAGGCAGAGAGCATCATTTAAAAAAGAAAAAAATAGATTAAAAATGGAAAAGTCGAAAAAAGAAAACACAAAAGGCAAAATTGAAATTTAGAAAAGTGGAAAAAGTAAGAAAAACTTTAGTGAATTTTAAAATAAGCGATTATTTAAATAAAGAAGCACGATACGATGCACCAACCTCCGTCAGCGAACCGAACACAATGCAGTTTGCGACGGTGGAAACTATGATGAATCACCAATTAAAATAGCATTCTCTCTCTTTCTCCCAATCTTGAACACCCAACTCGCATTTCATTCCAATTCTCGACTTCCTCACCCATTCCAACCAAAACGTCAAAAACTCAAACAAGATCAATTTTCACAACTAAAAACAAAAATAAAAACAATGTCCCACTTGATCAAACAAAACAACAAACCCTCGGATTCGTTCTTCCCAGGTGGTCTTTTCCTTGACGCTACCACCCTTCCAACATCCTTATTTACCTTAACTCCATCTTCTTCATCCAATTCAGCCACAGTTTCATGTTTTTCCTGGGGTATCAGAAAAAGGGTCGGCGCCGAGATTCTCAGGGTAGAACCTGCCATTAATGGTGGCAGTTGCGTTTTCTCGTCGTTGAGTCTTTCAATAAACGGAACCGGCACAGATCATAGTCATAGATACACTCCAGAATCCAATGAAGTTTCAGAGCAACATGAGAAAAAAGTGGAAGAAGGTGTGTATCAAGAGAAAGAGAAGGAGAAGGAGAAGGAGAGTCTTCAGGTTAACGGATCCGGTGCTGTTAACATGACCAAACATCTCTGGGCTGGTGCTTTTTCCGCCATGGTCTCAAGGTCTTCACTTCTTAAATCATTGGTTTTTCTTTTCAAATTTGCTTTACTCACACTGTTATATTTGGTCACAACATTGATTCTCATGTTGGGGTTTTCAGGACTTTTGTTGCGCCATTGGAGAGACTTAAGCTCGAATACATTGTTCGAGGAGAACAGAAGAATCTTGTTGAGCTCATTCAGACAATTGCAGTTTCTCAAGGGTTGAAAGGTTTTTGGAAAGGAAATTTTGTGAATATTCTTCGGACGGCGCCTTTTAAGGCTATAAATTTTTATGCCTATGATACATATAAAAATAAACTGGTGAGAATGTTGGGGAATGAAGAGTCCACAAATTTTGAGAGGTTTGTTGCTGGTGCTGCTGCAGGGATTACAGCTACCTTGCTCTGCTTGCCCATGGACACTGTGAGTGCAAATCCGTGGACTCTTATACTACTTTTTTTCTTGATATGTGTTTAAGTTTTCTTTCGATTATGATGGAAATAGATTCCCAGTTGTAATTGCATCACATAGTTACAATCTCGACCGTCTAATTTGATATTTATATTTCTTGAGGATGCTCCTTGATTGTGCATAATTATTGTTAAATAACAATAACCTTGAAACTTGCATCATGTTTTATTAAAAAAAGCCCGTCTTTATGATTTTATTTGAATACCTAAGGCGCTGTTGATGGTCCATATATAGTGTCTCGTCTTAGAAGATGTGGAACGCATAAAAGTAGTAGTTGCATTCTAAGAGTGGTTTCTTTCAGATCAGGACAGTTATGGTAGCACCTGGTGGTGAAGCATTGGGAGGTGTAATCGGTGTCTTCCGTCATATGATCAAAACGGAGGGCTTCTTTTCTCTTTACAAAGGTTTAGTACCTTCCATTATCAGCATGGCACCTTCAGGTGCTGTCTACTATGGTGTTTACGATATTTTAAAGTCGGCATATTTACATTCGCCCGAGGGAATGAAAAGAATCCAATATATGAAAGAAGAGACTCAGGAGTTGAATGCTTTGGAACAACTGGAATTGGGCACCGTTAGAACTTTATTATATGGTGCTATTGCTGGTTGTTGTTCTGAAGCTGCTACATATCCCTTTGAAGTTGTAAGGAGACAGCTTCAATTGCAAGTTCAAGCGACTAGGTTGAACGCGCTGGCGACTTGTGTCAAGATTGTTGAGCAAGGAGGTGTTCCTGCTCTCTATGCAGGATTGACTCCCAGCTTATTGCAGGTATAATCTCTTCTCTGGAAATATATATATACTGTGTTCTGTGCAGCAAGTTGTACATTAAATTTCATGTAGACGCCTATTTGAACCATCATCAAGATTAGATGATTTATGTTTCAACTTTTTATAGTCACTCTAAGTAATATTCGTCAGATCACTAGAACATTTTACTGAAATTGTAATTGCTTCTAATGTCACACGTATGATTAGTTGTAATTTGTTGACAATATAGAACTTTTATCCTAACAATGGATCAAATGTCAAAATTAAACTCATGATTTAATATCCAATTTTATGATTTTCAGGTATTACCATCGGCTGCTATTAGTTACTTTGTATACGAGTTCATGAAGATAGTTCTCAAAGTAGAATCAACTTAGATAGATTATCATACAAGCAATTCAAACAACATATATAGTTTGATTGAGAGTTTTCTCCACATATGCGTCGACATCATGTACCTGAGAGATTTTGCTGATTATTCACACATTTTATAACAGTTTGGCATACTCACTGTCAAAGTCCATTGGGTTATGCAGCTGACAATCCTTTGATGAATAGGAGATTCCATGAAAAGGTCATGAAACTTTGTTTATTTTTTTATAGACATTGTTAATGATTAGTTTATTAGGATAGGAAAATCTGTTAGTATTAGAAATTGAAGTCTGTACCTTCTTCACAAAACTCCTTGAGTGGTCTGAGTCATACCTCTAGGGACACATCTTGAAATCATTTTGATTCTTGTTTATGTTGGTAGCTTTGAATGTTTGGCTGATGAGGTTACAAATTACAAATCATGGTATGAATATGACTTTTACCTCAATGATATATTTTTTATTCAAACACAGCTCTTAGTTTGTTTGACAGGCTTCTTTTGAAGAAACAAAAAAACAACTTTTAAAATGTGTAAGTAAAATGATTTTATAATCTAATTTTTGAAAATAGAATTTAATTAACTATTTGTTAATTTATGTAGACAATTTTTCTGATGAACACCTTAATTAGTTTGAACTTCTTAAGTTAAGGACTCCTTAATGAGTTTCACCTATAGGGACACATCAATTGGGTGGAGGGGTGTAGTTCAATTAGTTTGAACTTTCTTAAGTTAAGGAAAGTTAAAGAAAAAAAAATTAACTACCAACAATTTATTATTAAAAAATATATTATAAACTCTAATTTGTCCCCTAAACAAGCTCAATGTCCAAGTATAAAAATCAACTACTAACAATTTATCATTAAAAAAAGTTTATTATAAACTCCAATTTGTCCCCAAAACAAACTCAATGTGCTTCAAGTCAAACTCAAGGTAAAATATTGATTATTTTAATCACCTGTCTATCAAACTCAAGCATACCTATAAAAGTGTTTTACTACAAGATTACCAACTAAACTAATGTAGATTTTAACTTAAATATTTTGTTTTGTAAAAGTCTTAAAAGGGATTTTGTATACTCTTTTGATAATAATTTATTTGTTTATAATAAAATTGTTACAAAATATTTGACATTTTTCATTTTGCAATGGACATATATTGGCTAGACAAGTGATTTCAAACACAAAAAAGGATGAATTGTACGGGTTTAAAAAATAATGTCCGATAAAAATTAATAAAATAAATTGTTTAAAATAATATTGTAAATCAAACAAAGAGTGAGCATCAGAATTAAAAAAGAAAACAAAATCAGAATATATAATGGATTTAATCACATTAGAAATAAATAAATAACGAAAATAAAAAGGGATAGGAGGTAAGAGAATTGCACCAAAGATTTATAGAGGTTTGAAATTTCTTTCCCCATTCTTACACCTTCTTAGTTATCTTTGGCGAAATTCTGTTTTTATTCCCATAATTCAGAGATGTATCTCCGAACGTATTAAAATTCATTTTTCTAGGGTGATTTCAAAGATGTATTACCAAAGTTACGAAATATTATTTTTTTGGGGTAAACTTGGAGATGTATTTCCAAAGATATCCAATGCTTTATTTCCGATGTACATTTCTGAAATAAACACTGAATGATTTCTCCATAACAGAAACATTGAAACATTGACCTTGAAAAATAGATATAACATAGATTTTGAAACATTGATATTACATAAACAATAACATAAATTTAACATTGAAAGTAGAAATTACATAGATATTAAAACATAAATTTAACATTACATATTATTATAAACGGGTAACTGAGAACGTCACAATATTTTGATAACATCTTCACCTGATCTCTGAATCTTTGCATCCAATTGAATCAGACCCTTAGTAGAGTATTGATGAAAAGTACTTCACATAACCTTTAAATCGTCATCCTTCTTCAGCTCAAACTTGGTGAACTTGATCTTTCCTTCAGTGTCAAGTGATGGTGAACGATACTTGAGCTTGACTACCCTCTAATTTTATGAATATTGCAAGAGAGAGAGAGAGAGAGAGAGAGAGAGAGAGAGAGAGTTGAGTATGGTAATGAGCTCTGCGAGAGGCGTGTCCTCGCAGAACCTAAATTGAAGTGGCAGATTCGTACCGTTGAAGTAAATAAAAGCAAAGTGAGAATACGTTTGTGTCATATCTGATTTGTGGTGTGTGATGTCTGATTTGTGGTGTGTGGCGTTGAAGAAATGGTTTAGACACCCTATTTATAGAATATTTGGAGCAATTTGGTCCCAACAATTCTTTTCACGTGTCAACCCATATTTCAGAAATACACTTCCGAAAAAAAAACCATTTTAAAAACAAAAATAAGGTGTTTTCAGCAGTACACTTCTGAAACATTCTCTAATTGTTTTTTTTAAATTTCGGAAATGTATTTCCGAATTATGTAGAGACAGACCACTATCTTGGCAAAGTTAATACCAATCAAAGATAAATTCACAATTTAATCGTAAAAGTATAAATTGGTCAAATTTTAAATAGATATATTATATATGTATTGAATCGTACGTATACTTTCCAAAATGATTCGATTATATTGTGCACGACAATACATACAAAAAATGATTCTATTACATTCTAAAATATACCGAACTAATGGTTACCGTTTAAATCTAAAACTGGTTCTATGCTTGACTTCTTGCTATTTGATTCTCTCTCAAGTTCCAGCAACTTGGTGAATTCGACCATTCTTTCCAAAAAATGATTCGGCCAAGTTTCTGCCTCTTTTGCGGAATGTTCCATCCATTGTACTGATGTAGCCTGAATAGGACACCCCGACTTAAAAAATACTTCAACAACTTCATGGTACGAAGAAATCTGCCTTGTTGAATTGTCACCTTGTGTACTTTTAAACTTTTTAGGGAACCTTTGGTTTTTACCAGTTGTGAAGGAGGTTTCATATAAGTGGTTTCTGGATAGGAGATTTTCTTCAGTTGTTCTTTAATATGCAATTGTTTACTGTCGAAAAAGGTAAGCAACCGCTAGTCTTCCCAAAGCCTAAAAACTAAGAGTTACTTGCAGGATCGACTAATTGATCCTAAGACATGTGCTAATGTATCTAAGTATAACTTGTTCGACCGATGTAGGACTTTGTTTTTTTGAGAAATAGTTTTCTCTGAAGGATAAAACAAGCATGAGTTTCCATAATGTAATGTTTTGACCGGCTAAAGGCGACTCGTGACCGACGGTAGGTTACGACTTGTTTAAATGAAATAAATGTTGAGAGACTCTTTAGCAAATTCTAGTATAGAGATAGAACGAGTTTCAAAAGCGTAGATGATAATATAAAAGGAACGTTCGAAAGTAAATAAAATTAAAGCAAAAGATTCAAAAGGAACAACTGAAAAGAAAGGAATTTTCATTGACATAAAGATGGTGATTCACGTACATTAACACCTTTGAAACCCTCTTCTTCCTTACGCTTGAAATGTTGGGTTTGTTAAGTGGTTCTAGTACAAAGTGAACACCTTAAATCCTACACCGGATCCTTTTATTTATAGTAGTTACAAATCTAACTGCATACGTACTAGAACACACTATATACTTGACACGTATTTGGCCTTGAGATAATTGCTTATCTATATTTTCACCATGTACTTGGCGCTTAATTTGGAAAACTATCTTGCAACTGTTGGTATTTTCAAATTTCAAAATTATTCCGCTCCAACGCTCACTTCGACGCCATCCTTTAGTGTAGATAGATGATCCAAACTTCTCTAAGTCTTAGATTTTAATTTGGTTGACAATACCAAACTTTGACTAGCTTGTTTGTCAATTGTGTCGACTTTCCACTGCTGACTAATAATTTTTTCCGACTATTTCTCATTCTCGAGCTTAATTTCCTTACAACCTTTATTTGTAGGATACCTTATTCTTAACTCGTGGAACTACCCTCATTAATTATGCAATATATACCTTAATTTTTTTTAGGTAACAACAATCTCGTAGTGTCATCCGCTTTAATAAATCTATCCATAATCACTTCTAGCTCAGTTGTGATGGTAATACTCGATGTACCGTCCTTCGTAGAAGCGTAGTAGTCAAATAAGAGTATTTTCCAATGATTAAAGACCTCGTCCATGCGTATGGGGGTATTTAGCTTCACTTTTTTAGAAATGAGACAAGCACATGGAAGCCTATAGGCTTTCCTAATTGTACATCCACACTTTGAACTATCCGGCCCATTTTCTTGGCACGCTTCGCTTCATAAAAATAAAATTCAATCTCGCTCGGGATATGTTAAGATTCAACTTTGAGTAAAGAGTGTTATCTTTAAAACGGTGTTCTACGATAGCTATTCTCCGGCCAAAAGTTGTTTGAATTTCATTATGTTGGTTTTGGAGCATTTGGTTCACCGTGTCTTATTCTCAACAAAAGTATCGCTTGCTATCACCCAACCATTTCCTTAATGTCTCATGTGCAAATTTGACTCTATTAGTTGTAGTGTTTTCCAAGTGTCAAACTCGGTCCGTCCAAGCACACACCACTTTCTATTTCACATGATCAAGAATAGTAGTTTCAATGTATTTTAGAAAATTTGGAAACTTGACACACAAGCTCCTGAAATGTATCGCATTCTCACCATACAACTCTTTTGTAGAAGAATTCAATATATTTTCCCATGCATCCATTATATTCTCCACCATAACACTAGCTTTGACAATGTTTCCGTCTTCACCCTTGAAGTCTTTGGTGGCAACCACCGGTTTGAGATTAGCTCTCACTTTTTTTTGTTATATGATACGGACAAAGTAATGTATATGATGTAGGAAATACACTTTTAACCACATTCATAAGGTCGTTATTTCGGTCGGTTACAATGACACTAGGAAACTTTTGTGGATCCTTCAACAAAGTCTTGCATATATCCAACGTCCATGTAACATTGTCTTCTTTCTCACATTCGAAGAATGCAAGTCCAACCGAAAAAGTCTTATCCGTAGAAGTGGCAAC